TCCACTGGTGGGCTAAGAGTGGCTAAGCGGTGGTCCACTAGTGGGGTGTGGGTGGCTAACGGTGGCCCACTAGTGGGGTGTGGATGGCTAATCAGTGGCCCAACTTCACTAGGCCCAAAGCTCACCCAAACCGTGATATTGACACAAACGTTTGTTTTGATGTTTTCTTAATTAAAATGATAGCAAGATGTATTTTCAAAGGGGAATATTTCCGTTTCAAATTTTCTGCAGCAAATGACAACCAAAGCAGACAGTAAATCATCTCTTTTGAGATTTCCAGAAGTATGCATGGCTGCGTATTCGCCATCTCGATGTCGCCTCAAATCTCCAAACACATCGATGTCCTACTTGGGTGTATACCAGTGCAGTTCCCTCTTTCCTTATTCGCAGAAGCAGGGGTACCCTTTCAAACCTAAGACAAAAGGGAAAATGTCAGTGCTTGTACTATGAAGTTATTAGTGGATATCAGAGAAATCGTTAGAAGCAAAAATTACCATATCGAAAGTACATGTATCGAGTAACGATATAATGGTAGGAAAAATGGTATCCAATTTTGCGGACATATTTTCAATACAATGCAAAATCCATCCATGCGTTGATGTTGAAACTTTATCGATTTTACCTGGACCTCAGAAATACAGAGCTTCTGAAAAAGAGCCTAAATTTACAAGCACATTTAACTAGGTACTATGCAAAATATTAAAATTCAAGACACAACAGTGTCAGCCAGTGAAGCAGTCAAAACAACTGGGCCAAGAAAGAAAGAAAGAAATGAGATATTAATTCCTACGTATGTTCATGTACGTCACGGATCTTTCTTCATTAGCTTTTTATGTTGAGAGGATCATGTTTTAAGCGAAAGCATCAAATGAAAAACAAAATAAAATCCTTGAAAATATTATACCTACTTATCTCTGATAACTCTCACTTTTTTGATGAAACATGGTTTCTATTCACATTGGGCTACTACGATCACTCATTATAAGTATGACAGTTGGCCAAGGTTGGTCCCGGGTGGCACTCATCTAGCTTGGCTGTAACAGTGGCCCACTGTCGGGCAACCGTCGGCCACCGCTAGTACTCATCGCCACCGTACGCACGGGTGATATATCAAGCTCGAGTGTGACAGTGGGCCACTGTCGGGCCAAGGTTGATCCTGGGTGGCACTTATCGAGCTTGACGGTAGCATTGGGCCACTGTGGGGCAACTGTAGGCCACCGATTGCCACTCAACGCCACCCATTTGCCAACAGTGGGCCACTGGTTCCTGCTATCTGTTGCTATCTTTTGAGCTTAGTCTACGAGCGTGTACAGGGTAAGGGGGTTTGCACGTCTGCCATCTTGAAGGCCCAAGCCTTTGTTTACAGGATATGCCCAAAGGAAGTTTCCATGTCCAACAACAGAACTGCCCTGCAAGATGGCTACCACACAAAACCTATGGTGTTGGGAGAATGGTACCGAGACACAGAAACAGACGCATTTGGGTCTCTGTGTACTGTACAGTACATGTGCAGTGGGTGAAAGAGAAGACCCCGTAATACACAATGCACATTTTTTTTTTGCTGTGTGGGAATTGTATGAATAAATAAGTACACAATGCACTTTTTTTGCTCTGTGTGAATTGTATCAATAAACAGCTTAACGGTTTTTGCTGATGTTGAGGGGGTGCCCCAATTAACGGCGGTACTATTCCATCAAGTATTTGCCCTACCCAACAGAAAACCGATATGTGTTATGCAGTTCATTGCAGGAAACTTGTTTTATTAGAGCTCACCGTTCCATTAATTTCAGATTAACATCGACGACGCTCACTTTAAGAATGAGAATCGATACGCTAGACTTTTGTCATGGTATGGAGTTGGAAGGGTGGAATGTTAAATTTTGGTCTGTATAGAATTTGCCTCGCGAGGACTGATTACACCAGACTAAAAAAGGCAAAGAATTATGAAATTGTACCATTTGGGCGTTGGGAAGATTTTCGCGATCAGATTGTTGGAACAGCTCGGTCGGGATCCTACGTACATTTTTTAAAAGTCGGAAGGAACCAACTTTGAAAACAGGTGAATGCGTGTTCATGTCTAAATGAATTTATTTTGCCCTTCCCTTCAGCCTAATTTGGGCCGCCACCCATTTCAGACAATGTTTATGAATTACGCTGCTGTAACTAAATGAGTGTATTTTCTAAATGTTTTTAGCACAAGCAATTGAAATTAGGTGTGCTTCTCTAATTTTTCAAACCTGCTTCATCTCTCTTCGCCCTGCCATGAGTACTTTCTTTTATTTATTGTCCACTCAGGACCGGTGTTTTATGTCGCACCTTTATTGTTTTTTTTTCCGTATTGTGGTTGGGTATTGAGTAAAGATGATTAAATAACAATCAACTTTACAACAAACACAGGAAGGCAATAGTAAAATACGTGTACAAAAATGTGTCGCATGTTAGTAGCCGTTTATTTCCTTGTTTCGTGAAGCCAAAAGTTTGAATTCCCGTGATTGAATAGATGTTATATCTGCGCGTAAAACAATAGTTAATGATCGTTTTGGAGGACAAAAAAGGTCCCATTGCACAATTCACCCTTCAGACCGTTTACACGTATTTCTCCAGCACCGATCAAGCAATCACAAGTAAAATACTATTTTTTCTTTTTGACATTGTTGACACAACGAATTGACATTCACTAGAAGTAGGCCATTGTAAGAAACCAGGACAGGCAGATTGTACATGTGTACATGTACATGTGTTCATGTGTACATGTACATGTGTACAAATTCTGTCTCTCACCCTAGCAACTACAACAAACTCCACAGTACCACAGTGTTTGAGATAACTGTCCGTGAATAAGCCTCTGCGTCACCAAAGAACTGCAGTTCTTTCGGAAGGCGCTGCCAAAATGAAAAGAGCCCGACTTCTCCCGACAACAAAAGCACCACGTCCCACGGATTTGACCCCCGACATCCAGCGGCGTATCCAGATTTTGGTGTGTGGGGGGGATATCAAAAGCCTTACTCACGGTCCCGACGTCTCTACAGGCTAATGACGCGATTCGATGTGCTCATGAATATTTATGTTGGTGTAGTTTAAGGGCAATCCCCGCTGTGTACGCCACTGCCAACATCACTTCATTAGGACATTTGAAGGGAGGTCACGTGCCGAAGTTTTACATTAATAGGCCAAACATAAGGAAACGCATGTCCTAACTGGTAGGTGGAGCGTGGGGCGGGAAATATTAAGAAAATATCGCTCCATTCTGTCGCACAAACAATTTGTGTCGAATTTAGGGCATAAAACAAATTGTGCCAGGTATGTTGTTTAAAATACAGAAGTTACAAACACAGAAAACTAATCTGGATGATTGTACGGCAACAAGCGTCAAACAAAGTGACAGTCAAGAAGACTTCTGTTTCATGTTTATCACAGTGGCCCAGAGTCTTTCCATATAGTGTCCCTCCTCTGGGTTTGAGTGACCGTCCAAAAATGCGATGGCTCGCTGATACACACTGATTGGGTGCCGTCTGAGATTGTCCCTGGTGGCAGAGAAGCAGCCCGTGTAGCACACTGGGATGGAGTTGGGATGCGCGG